CATTCTGTACAACATACTTCGATCCAACAAAGACTTCATTGCCCCCTTCAAGACCTACTTACAGTGAAGCACCTCATCTTATTCACTAAAGTTCGTATACACATACCGTGATCTGACTATGCTCACTTCGGTCCATAGTGAGAAATTCCGACGAGCGCTTGACTCTGTTTAAAATGCAAATTTATTTTTCCTACCATAAAAGTAAACACTTGCAGAAGACAACTTCATAGTTAACGAAGATGGTGGTCGGCATACACATAGGCATCACAGGAGGCGAGATGGGAATATGCCTGAGGGGTATGCTACAACTTTACTTTGCCTAAATTTTGTATACTAGTTTTTATTTTTATTTTCAATAAATCCGTTGCCTCATGGTTAGAGGAGATTAACTCAACTAGTTTTACGTGCTTCGTGTTTATGACTTCCGAAACTTTTCACCGAGTACGTATATATTCAGTGCGCTAGATGAAGCACGAGACGTATTCGGAGTTGAAGACTTTAATTTTGATGAATTCTACGACGAAGATGAAGAACCCGTTGAAGATGAGGATGAAGAACAAGAAGATTTGATGGATGATGAGGGCGAAGGCGAAGCAAGGGTAAGTGCATTTATATTCCCATATTCTTTCTAAACTCATCCACAGTGATTGTTATAAGGTTCGACGAGTACGAACGAAAGAGAAAAGCAGTACGCTTTTGGACACCATGGAACCATCTGAACTTGAGCGTGGTTTCATGGCGCCTTTAGACAAGAAAATACAGTTAGAAGACAAGCCAGAAAGGTAATATTGTGTATGAATGACATCTATTGGAACTTAATCGAGGTACTGTAGATTCCAATTGCGACGAACACCTGTAACGGAAGCCGACGACATGGAGCTGGAACTGGAGTCTAAGTGGATTTATTATCATGCTTTCTGCTCCACTTCTGTTTCTGCACAGGTACTTTGAGTTTCTTCATAGAATTAGACTTCCTTTTTTGAAGATCGTTTTGTTATGGCGCTCTAACAATGTAGAGTGTAGTGTGCTTGCATTGAAATAGAAAAACAGCCCTCATAAATGAATGAAGCAGTTTATTTTCCGAACTCAGTATTTTCTTGAAGAAATCGACGCTCCTGGCGTTTGTGACCGATTATCATGGCGAAGACCGATCGCAGTGTGAAGATGAGGCGAGAGAAACTATAAAAGAGGCCTTGAAGTTTATGCGAAACCATCTGTTCGAGGTAATGTCCCGGCTATTATGTAAGTCATTGCCATGCGAAGGATATTCGATAAATGGCTTGAATTAAGGTGCCATTCATAGCATTCTACCGCAAAGAATTAGTAAGCAACGTGCTAACGATAAACGATCTTTGGAAGGTCTACGAGTATGACGAGAAGTGGTGTCATCTTCAGAACCGGAAAAAGAAAGTTCGTTCATTTTATACAGCACTCTATGCCTTTTAAAATTTTGTATCACACAATTATTTTTTTCTAGCTCGTTGACTTGATGAAGCGCATGCAGTACTATCAGACTGAGTCGCTTCAGAATTATCGTCGTGTAGTTTCGGATGACGACATCATTGAGTGAGCAACTTTCTGATCTTGATCCTTATCCCTGTTCAACATTTTACTTTATTAGGGTTCAAAACGTAGATACGGTAGAAGCACTGGGTGATCTATCAGCCCAATTTCACGTCTACTATGGAGCTGAAGTCGGCCGTATGCTCGATTGGGAAGCGGCGCAAAAAGTAGGCGGTTATTATTTCTGATAATTCTCAGATTACTTCACGATGCAGTTTAGGATATCGATGAGGGAGGTGACGGCACTAATGTTCATGGAACAAGGTTCCGACAAAGTACCCGAAATGACCGGTATCAAGTGAGTTCTTTTAAATTAGTACTTCTATTTTTTCTTTCCACTATCTCGGTTCTTTCATATCTTATTTGGGTATGCGCATCTTGTGCTATTTAATGGACTTCCTTTTTTGTAATTTTCTTAATGCTTGTAGAAATTCGCTACCTCTGTTTCGTCCGGGGCGGGTCACGTATAGGGTCTTGATGAATGAAGGTGCAATAAATTTGATGATATTTTGAAAAAAATGGTGCTGTCATAACCACCTTGTTGTATCTCCTAGTTGCCTATTTATGTCTTATTTTGCTCTTCTCTTCGTTTTCAACAAATAGAAGAACTTCAAAAAAGCTGATAGCAT